ATAGTTTAGACGAACTTAAACTCCCTGTTAGCAAATAATTTAAGTTAACTTAACGACGAACCGTTTAAGTTTAACAGCGTCAGTTTGAATACCATCAGATATCATTTGAGAAATATTTTCTGCACCTTTTTTCCTATGACTATTTTTCGGCAAGACGCTCTGGCTGAAATTCTAATCACAGGATTGGATATCACTGGTATCTTTTCAGAAGCAGAACATCCAGTATCAGATAGTTCTTTTGGAATTGATTCTTGATCTTGATTAAGAGATACTTGCTTTGCTTTACTAAATTTCTTCTTCCTATTACTTGCCTAATCTCATCACTAACCCTTTTCTTATATGACTCATCTAAGAAAGCATTTGTTTTTACATCATCTAATCTTTTAGAATTGATAGATTCATCACCATATATTTTGCAATTAGGCTCACTATTTGAGCTAGCTCACTGAACTTCTTGAGAATTGAGTATGATAATAGCTGATGCCTTTACCTTTGGTATCGCTTCCTTATCTTTCTGAGGTTCTTCACCTACTACCAAAGAACCCTGTTCCACTATTGCTAAAGATGCCAGCCGAAACTCCCTCAAAATAATTTCGTCATATCCCTTACTATATTTTTAATATAGTTTCGGCTAATTTCAGGTTTTGGGGTTTCATCGTACCCCTCACTATATTTTAATATAGTTTCGGCTATTTATTAATTGCCTTTTTTGAGTTTCGTCCCTCATCTTTAACTATCGCAAGTCTAGCTTCAAGCTCTATATTTTTTTGCTCTAATTCATTAATCTTAGTATCACGCATCTTATTCTCTTCAACAAACTGTCTTAAAAGTTCGGCAACTCTGGCCTTAAGCTCAATTTTCTCAGCCCCAAGCTTATCATTCTTAACATTAATCTCAGCAAATCTCTTCTTAAGTTCATCAATCTCAATTAAGAGCTTAGCATTTAATTCCTTTAATGAATCGTTAGATTGTGCGTTAAACATATCAATAAATTTTATACAAAAATATGAAATATTCAAAATGAATAAAATACGAGATTTTGACCGAGACGCCATGGCTGAAATTTTAACAAGAAAATTTTACGTGACTTTTAGGGATATCTTTTAGAAAATAATTATTTGTCCACATATTTCAGGACCTTTATTTTTAGAATCATTAAGCAAATCTACCACTATTTCTGTAGTTGTCAGTTGGTGTAATATCACAACTGATCCACGGCTTAACCATCCTTTTTTTACCTTGCCCTATTAGAATGATAAAATCAGTTATACAAGTATTTATTTTATTTCTATAATATTCTGCTTTAGAGACGAATCCATCTTGATTAGAAATATCACGAAATGCCTTCATACTAAAGAGTTCTCTCATTAAGGAGTGATATGCTTTTTCTCTTGGATCATCATATTGGTTTTTAAGCTTAATCGAAAGATTAATAAAGTTATCAACCCAAGGCATATTTTTTCGGTCATATGATAATACTTCGTATACTTCATCAACTACTAGACCTTGACGAATAAGTTCTCACAATTCTGTATCTGTTACTGTTAAACTTTTGGGCTGAATCTCATTGGCTGATATTGAAGTTACCGATGGTGTAGATTGAATGTCTTTTATTCTTTTTACGAACCATAATCTTAACTTTAGAAGAGTGAATTTAAAATCTCAAAGAAAAAATAAAAAGACAGACGCTATGCATGGATCAGCAAATTCTCTGAGCTAGTGATAACCATTCTGATTAAGAAGTTCAGAAATAAAATCCTTTGTAGTATCAATCGTACCCATAAACACGAGAAGAGATGCAGTATTACTATAGATATCCTCATCATCTGATTTAGTTTAAAAGCCAGAGCTAGAAAATTCTTAATCAGAGCAGTACTCTTCATCAAAATGTTTGATATGAATATTTGGATTTAGTTGGTGTATGGTTTTTTGCTAATATTTTCACACCTATCCAAATCTAGAAATTTTAAATTGAGACATGAGCGAGCAATTTCTCTGATAGTCATACTGGTAATATTACAGTATCTTATTTCGAGATGCTGGAGTCTTGGGCAGGAACGTATAACATTACAAATTGATAGTTCACTGACAAATGAACAACCATCTAGCTAAAGATACTCTAATTTATGACATGTATAAGCCAACGCTTCAATAACCTCATTACCAATATCATTATGACCGATCTCTAAGTGTCTTAAATTCAAAGATCGTTTGATAATAGCTATAATTAATACATCATTCTGCAAAGCCATAACCCTACTAAAGTCAAGATACTCTATATTGAAGCATCTTCGCATTAACATACTAGTATCTTTGATATCCCCACAGCTAAACGCAATATCAAGTTTTCATAAATTTAGGCATGAGTTTAAGATGCAACTTATAGATCTATCTGTGATCCAATGTGCTTCAGCAAAATAAAACTCTTGCAAGTTATAACAATTTCCTGTGATTTCAAACAAAGATTTATCGCTAATATTTCTGCAGTAAGAAATATTTAGATATTCTAATTTATAACATGATCACGCAATTGCATATAAACCTTTATCAGTTATTTGAACATCCCACAAATTAATATATCTCAAATTAGGATATGATTCCGCTATTACAAATAGTGATTTATCGCTAAAACCTAAACTATCTTTAAAATCTAAATGAATTATATTCGGAAATGTTTTCACAATGCTTTTTATTTTTTTATCTGAAAGTGAATGGTAAAAAGTAATTTCTAGATGAGTTGTATTTGAGACATAAGCTGGCTTATGCATTTCGCACATTACTTTTACAAATCTTTCCCATTGAGTATGATCTATTACACAATAATTATAATCTTCTGGAAAATAATGCCTATATCTTAGGTCATTCCCCTTTAGCTCAATGTGTTTCCATAGAATAAAAGCACTGCATGTGTATTACAATCAGGATAAAAATAGAGCAGAATATAGTATCTTATCTACTGCTAGGAAATATAAAATCTGTTTTAATAGTTCTGGTATAATAAAAATGTTTGAATGTGTTATAAATAGTATATGCTGTATCTTTAATCGAAAAAATAAAATTACGCAATCACTGCTCTGGATTAGTTAGAGCGGTAGAGTATCACCATTCTGGGGCTAAAATTCTTTCATCAGCTCTATATCGCCGGCACATACTTAGACCGGTAGAGTACTAGCATTCTGCTTGACCGGCTAGTATTCTATCAAAATAATTTCTCAGTGTTTGTCTGTTTATAGCTATAATGGAGTGATCTGCACCAGAGTCGACTGTCATAGATATATTGGAATTAGGTTGTCAGAATGCCTATTGAAACTGAGTTTTAATAACTGGAGGCTGTCTCAATAATATCTCTACTACTCGCTCTATCTCAGCTTGAATATCATTCGAATCCCGGTAATTCTCAACATGGGTATTTGAATTTAGCTGATATATGGCTTCTTTACTAATATTATCACACCCTTTCAAATTGAGATACTTTAAATTAAGACACGAACTAGCAATTTCTTCAATAGTTATATCAGTAATTTTATAATAGCTAAGATCAAATCATTGGAGTCTTGGATAAGAACGAATAACATTACAAATTGATATTTCAGAAACTCTGTGCGATTAGAAATATTTAGACATTCTAATTTATGACATGAATCTGCGATTGCAATTAGATCTTTATCAATTTTCCATTGAAATAAATTATCTAAAACAGATATATTAAGATACTCTAAATTTGGGTATGATTCTGCTATTAGCTTTAGAACTTTCCCAACAGACTCAGATTTCATACTTCCTTTAAAATCTAAATGAATTATAATTTTGAACCTGCGTACAATATTTTTGATTTTTCTATTTAAAAGCCGGTAGTCTGATATTTTAATATGAGTTAATTTCAAGCTATAAATTGTTTTACGCCCTCCCTCATGTACTATTTTTAAAAATTTTTTTAATTGAGTTCGATCATTCACACCATTTAGCTCAATGTGTTTCCATAAAATAGGAGCACTGCATCTGTACTACAATCAGCAAACAAATAGTGCAGGGTAGAGAGATTTATCTATTAATAAGAAATGTAAAATATGTTCTAGTAATTCCTGTATATTAAAAACACTTGTATATGCCATAAATAATGTGCATTATATGCTGTATCTTTAATCGAAAAAAAATCTTTCGAGCAAGATCAAAGGCACTTTGCATGGATCACTACTTCGAACTAAGCCTTTTCACTATCTCATCTAACGCAAGCACCTGTAAACCATCTATAAGAACTTTAAATGTATTCTCATGTAATAATCCTTTTAATAATGCGCATTTAAGAAAATTTTCACTATAGCTAAAACTCTTATTACACTCTTTCAGCCTCAAATAAAAATCCTTGACTGTATTTTTGCCTTGAACCAATGACATGATACGAAAATCAAAGAGATTTTCATCATACTTTTCTTTAATGCTTATGAGGAACGGTCTTTTTATCTCTTACCTGATTTATCTCAACTGAATTAGAATCTTCAGAAGACTTAGATGAATAGGAGGAACCCTTACATTTTTTGATCTTTGGCGAGAAAGCTATTTCTTGTATTAAGTTGACCACAGTTTTCCTATTCACACATTAGTCTAGATCTTTTAATTCATCTTTTAAGGATCTCACATCCTTCTCCAACCTTTTTACCCTCCTTTCTAAAGTATTAGGTTGGGAATGATAATCTTCTAATTGTTTCTTTAGCACCATATTTTTATCGAACAGCGCATTATACACTTTTGCATTTTGCTCGTCTAGCCCAAATATCTGGGCTAATTTTTCTGTGTATCTAATAACTTTCTGTTTACTAGGCGTACTATCAGATGAATGTTTTTGTTCGGCTACTATTTTTGTGATATATTATATATGCTATATCTTGCCTTAAGCGAAAAAATAAATTAATAAATGATTAGTCTTCATCAAAGAGCTCACGTATCTGACAAGGCTCTTTTTGGATTTTATTGGATTTTCGAATAAGGTTTGGATCCTTGGCATAGTTATTAATAATTTTAGGATCCACTCCGGCTTTTGCTAATTTTTCACGGAATTGGTATTGGCATGATACGGATGTTATAATTTCTTTTTTATTATTGTTTTTTGATCCTAATTCCATATTATGACGAAAAATATCCCATTTATTACCGGCTTTAGCGCAATATTCTGCCCTTTTCTCTATAGTCAATTTTTCCTTTCTCTTATCAGGTAGAAGAGCATCTTTCTTATCTTTACTATATTTGCGTCAGGTTAGGAGATCTTTAACACATTTTCGGGCATTCTGATTCTGTAGTGATGCATCAAGCTTTTTATTATGTTCACTTAATTATTCTGGAGTGAACTTAGCAGATAAGCTATATTTTTCTAAAAACTGTTCTAGAATCGATTTAAAGTTGTTAGCTTTCAATTTCCTTTGGGCCTTTGGGATTACTTTTGCGATATCCATGTTAATAATAAGTAGATTAGTGTGAGCTCTTACAGCTAATTTGAAATTTGCAGATAGATAGGATAAGGAAAAAAATACCCCTTAATCATAAATTTTGAAACCTAGCAAAATTTAGCAAAGGCGTGTTGCTAGTAGCTATACATATTGATAATATCAGATATTTCATCATTTTTTGCAGACTCTGATTCTGGCTCTGAATTATGTTCATCTTCGGGACTAGAGTCTTCTGATTCTGTATCGCCTATAGCGTAAATATCCCCTGCATCAAGACGATCTGATTTTTGTCTCAGTTTGACTCTCAAAAAATGTTTATGATATTCAGGAGTTAGATTCTTACTACCATGGATTATGAAAGCATATCTTTTTCCATAATCTCTTAACTGTTCTGGGAGAGATTTATAAGGCTTGTGACTTAAGAATTTGTTAAAAGGTGTGTCATTATGTGTTTCGCTTTCAGTATAAACGGGATTACATTTTTTTTAGCCTTAATTGCCTCTTGAATCCAGGTGAGCAATTCCTTTGCGCGTTCTGGATTCTTCTTTATAGAAAGAAATGGCATGGTATAGGATTTTTCTTCTTTTCTCCTCTACTTTTGAGATAACCTGTGCAATACCAAGAATAATCTTCCTTATACCATTCTGGTATTTTCGACAGATCTAGTTTATAATGATTAATCTGAAGAGATCTTACTTTCACAGGCCTCATACTCAACATTACAATTACATCTGTGAGATCATCTCTAGTAGGAGATTTAGTAACATCCATATTCTAGATCTTTTTTTGCATATTTGCTAAGAAGAAATGTTTTAGAATCCTTGGCGCTTTAGCCATTCGTTTCTTAGTTCGCTTTTTGGAATTTTATTAGATTCTTGGATATGATCCTGATCTATGACACAGAATTTAATGATTTTAGAATCTACCCCCGCTTCTTCTAATTTCACATGGAATTGCGACTGGCGGGAACAACTAGCAATTATTTCATTTTCATATTTATTTTTTGGGCCTAATTCCAAATGATGAGCGAAAATGTTTATAGCATCACCGGCCTTAGCGCAATATTCCGCTCTTTCCTCTATAGTGAGCTTACCATTACTCTTTCTCTGATCTGCACGAGAGCCTCTATCTGTTCTTTACTAAATGCGCATCTCTTTTTAGGGTGTTTGACAAGGGCATCTTTAATATACTACGGGTCGTCCAGTCTGAGAGTGAAGCACCAAGTTCAGGAGCATGTTCGCTTAATTGTTCTATGGTAGACTTATCAGATAAGTTATATTTTTTTAAGAGCTATTCCAGAATTAGAACAAAGTTATTAGTTTTAGGCTTTTGGGTCTTTGGAATGCTTGCTTTAATAGTCATGATAGTATAACCAGATTGTAAGTGCTACCTAGTTATATTAATATGTTTATTTTTCAATTCGAAAAAATATTCCGATAATTCATTACGTGATCCCTCTAGAGCCCGTTCATAGTCGGTGAAGTCAGATGAGCGAAAAAATATATAACCTATGCAGAGGTCTCGTTGAGGCTACTTTCAAATTTAATTTTTACCCGATTTTTTATATTTTAAATTAACTTATTAATGATGATTATTTATCATAAAAATCTTTTAAGGAATATTCATTTCTATGCGTAGTCCTTCCAAAATTAAAACAATTGATATTAATCAGGGAGATATCAACAAGCAATTACGGTACACTCAAAATTGGCATATAACTATATGTGGTCCATTGGGTTATGAGCTTGCTTTATTTTATGATATTGACGCTCATAAAAAAGTTCACTAGAAAATCCCTTAGCTACACATTTATCACATCTGCATTTAGGGAATAATAAGCTACCACCTATTCATGGGCCAGTCCTGCTAATAGATGATGTCAAAAAATTGACTTTTGATGATTTTTGTTATTTATTGAAAAAACTGTATAATGAAGTTCAAGTCAAAGAAGCCAAAGACAGACTCTTATTACGTTTTTCGATCACTTTTAACAATTTCGATTCTGTTACAGATGAAAAGAAAACTGAAAGATTTTGGCTAAATTGTAGTCAAATATTTTCTTATGATGATATCCATTATTTATTAACAGTATCATATAATAATACAGATCAATATAAAAAATTGAGGTGCAGGCTATTAGCTCTTGCGTAAACTCAAATAGGAGATTCGATTAAGTCTGATCAGAAGTTGTTAATAATTAGTGACATTTCATTCTAACTTACGAATAATATTTTATCCATATACTAAATCAAATGCTCGATCAATTACCAAAGCATACCATTCTCTTGAAGCATGCTTATTGTTTTTGCCATTTCTTGTCAGTATCAAGCCATGAGGTTGTGACTTCTTCATCCTCAAGTCTACGACAGATAATTTCTTCTCCTATCAATCTTTCCCATACTTTCATGTCCATATATTTATTGGGATCTTCTTCCAATTCTACTGCATAACTACACATTCGAGAGTCAGTTTCCATTCTATCACGGAACCCAATGTAATTGAGCCTGTCTTTTTCAGTAATAGTCACGAAAATGTCAGGATTCTCACCTAATTCAATTGCCTTTATTCTGAGGCACTCTTCTCGCTGGGCTCTAAATAGGAGAATGGCAGATGATACTTAATTTATAGAATTGGAAGAATCGGTTGGGATCTCTTTAGGAGATATATTCACAGCTTCACTGATATATTTGGGATCAGGAAGCTTGCTAGTCCCAAAATCATCAATTACTAGCTCAGGTGTTTTAGAAGTAACAGATTTATTAGATGTTCCAGATGTTCAGATGATTAGAGTATGGCTATTTTCTCCCACATAGTCGAAAAGGTTCTAGCTTAATTCATTCTGTTTATCTGTCTTCTTATCTTTACTAGTTCTAGGTGGAGGTGTACTCTTTTCTGGCTGTAGCGAGGTTATTTTTGAGGGAATGTTTTCTGATACATTGAATATGGTTATGTCTGTGGGTTCACTCTGTGTGCATAAATCTTCTTGAGGTATTTCAGAAAACTCTTCGATATTGCCTAGGCCAGATTTACAGAGCTTGACTATAATTTTAGTGCGATCAAGTATATACTGATATACTTTTATTCCATTATCCCATGAATGTCTTTGATCAATACTAATTAGTGAAAATTTCTTACTAGTGATCTTACTAGTTAATGGTTTTTCCCCATTACATCTGCACTATTCAAGATAATTCTGATATACCTTTTCACAGCTAAACCTGCTAATCTGATTTTCTGACCAAGTTGTAATATAATCAATTATAAATCGAATAGGATTAGAAAGTTGCTCTCGCATTGTTTCTATTTTCATCTTAGTTGCAGGAATTTTTCCTGGACTCCAATTTGATAAATCACGACTAAGAAGGTATGACATGATTACTCCTGGTGTATCAGGATGGTCTAGAATTTCCTCTAGCTGGTCAAAATATGCTATATTACCTCTACAGCGTGCAGAAATATCAAAATAGACTATACGAGAATCACCTATATTTATTTCAAGTAGAGCATCCTTATTGCTTATAACCATATACCCAGTATAATCATTTATTCATATAGTTTCAAGACCTTTACACTCTATAGCTACCATTCGTTCTGTTATAAGATATTTGAGATGCTCGTTAAATCTATACCATTCTCCACTAGACATCCCAGTCTCATTCATAATAATAAGCTTTTAAGCTTGAATGGCACTATTAAAACGTCTAAGAATTTTTTCCAAATCTGACATTGCGAAATGGTGGTGTGACCCTAAGACTTTATCACCAATAAAATCAGTGATGATATTTTTTTCGCACTGTTGTAATGTAGATTTTAGTACTAAAATAGTTTGGGTTTCTTCTTTGGCTTCTGCACTAAATATGCCTACCAGTTCCAGATATATTCGTCAAGTCTTTCATCCTCACTACAGATTATGTTCTTTACATATCAGAGAATCGAGTCCATAATTTCTTTGTTAATTCCCAATGCTGGCTTAGCCAAAAATCCTAGGAAAAGGTTAAAGAACTTTGTATCATGAGCTGGACTATTTAGCGGATATGGTAG